TTATGTAATCACGTAAAGATTGAGCTGCCTAATTTTGACAAATCAAAATGTCCACATAATTTTGGTCGTTGACTGTAATACAATAAAAATATTATTACTCAAAACTTAAAAAGATATTCTATTAGATTCATTGTGTTACAGGCTTGGATTTTAGATTCGAATTAATTGTATATCTTGCGTTATCATCTTTTCCGAGGTATTTATTATCTTGGACAAATTTTCTCCCGACCTGCGCATATTTAATTGACCGTTTAACTGCGTACGTTACAGTACAGGAAAAATATGCTCTGTAGAGATTCTATGCATGAAAATTATTATTGTGAAAGATAAATTGTTTAAAAAAACAAGAAAATTCAGAAAATATGTTGAATCTAAATGTAAAATTAGTTAATAAATATTATAAAAGAAGAACAACTTATGGAATTGGAAAGGAAATTATATAAAACTTGATAACTCAATGTCAAAAAGGTGTAGAATGATTCACTGATATATAAAATAACAGAATTATTTTTATATTATTATTGTTAAAATGAATGCCTCGCATCTTACCTCTATCAGTTACATGTTATAAACTAGGAAACGGGAACCGTTGTTGAGTCCGGAACTTTCCAAAATCGGAGATTTCATTGGTTAAGATCACGTGGGCGGACAGAGAAACGCAATAATCACGAGACCGAAAAAATTTTTTCACGTATATTGTCCTTCGCTTCGGACAATAAATTATCAAAATTTCTGTTGGTAGTTATACTTTCACAAAAATCCGAAATTGTAATCGAAGCGTTTTTGAAGATTGAAACCTAATTACCTTCACCGTTAAATTAAAACTTTACAAGAGACAAACGAATTATAATAAAGGATAAAATATATTTAATTTTAGATGTGCGTTTTTAAAATCGATATTATTTGTGGCGCAAATACTTTGCTGATTCATTATGAGGGCATAACCTGATTTAGTGCTCCGATCATTCATCGAGCCAGGGTCATGGTTTTGTTAGACCGGATGATCTGATTTTTTTTCGTTTTACGTTATGCGCTTCGATATGTTAAACTTTTTTAAGTAATAATGATTTATAATATATAGTACCTGGTTAAGCTTGGTTATTATGATATTATGAAGATAAAATATGGTGACAAAGCTTTATTCTTTATTCTAAAGTAATATTTCTTAATATTTATAACGGCGGCTATTACTGATATAGAAGTAGAAAATTTAATGATGAATTTTAATAACTTCATACTTTTAAATGTGGTAAGATCTACATATGCATCACTATTATCGTTATACAAGATAAATAAGTTTTTTTTAAAAAAACTTTTTTTTTTATTATAATTTATAACAATGTCTAATAGTAATTATAAAGGTGAGTGTAATAAAAAAATTAAAATAATATTTTCACCAAACAAGAAAAAGAAATAAAAATATGAAGCTTCGTATGACTAAAATGAATTAATTTAACGGTTTGATGATATTCTAAAATCTTTTTTTTTCATAAATTTACATTAGAGCCAGTTTCGGATGCTAAAGGTAATACATGTATTATTTACCACATACTAATTCGTTAATTATACTCATTTTTTGTTTGCTAAAATTAAATTTTATCAGATTTGAATATAGAATCTGTTTCAGATACTCCTACATTAGAAGAATTAAATGGTAATAAACTTTATTTATCAATTAATTATTTATATAATTATTTAATAATTAATATTTTTTTTAAAAAAAATTAAATAATTGTAATACTTAGATTGTAAATTATTTAATTTTAATTATATTTTAATTTATATGATTAAAATTTAATTAAATTATTATTTAAAAAATATTTAATAATCAATAATATTATAGGGAGTAGGTTATTTATTTTTTAAATTTTAATTTAAACTTAATTTATTTATAAAAATATTTAATGATAATTAATGATATTTTAGTTGGTAAATTATTATAATTATAATTTTTATTTAATATTTATTATTATTTATTAATAAAATTTTATTAAAAATAAAATATAATAATTTAGAAGGCAAATTATTTTATTAATTCAATTAACTATAGTTATTATAATTTAAAAAAAATATTAATATTCTTTATAATATTATAGAAAGTAAGATATTAATTTTTTTATTATAATTAAAAGTCAACTAAATTTTTTATTTAAAAAAATAATTAATAATATAATAGATAGTAAGTTATTTTTATTGATTATTAGTATTAAATTATATTTGTTATTGTAATTTAAAGTAAACTAAATTTTTAATTTAAAAAAAATAAATTTTATTAGTGAGTAAGTTATTTTTATTGATTATGAATATCTAATTTATACCTGTTATTGTAATTTAAAATCAATTAAATTTTTTATAATAATTTAGATTGTAAGTTATTTTTATTGATTATCAGTATTTAATTATACTTATTACTGTAATTCAAAGTTAACTAAATTTTTTATTTAAAAAATAATTAATAATATAATAGTTGGTAAGTTATTTTTATTGATTATTAGTATTTAATTACACTTGTTACTGTAAATTAAAGTCAACTAAATTTTTTATTTAAAAAAATAAATTAATAATATAATAGATGGTAAGTTATTTTTATTGATTAATAGTATTTATTTACACTTGTTACTATAATTTAAAGTCAACTAAATTTTTTATTTAAATTCAATAGATTGTAAGTTATTGTTATTTTATTGATTATCAGTATTTAATTATACTTATTATTGTAATTAAAAGTTAACTAAATTTTTTATTTAAAAAAATAAATTTTATTAGTGGGTAAGTTATTTTTATTGATTATCAATATTTAATTATACTTGTTATTGTAATTTAAAGTCAACTAAATTTTTTATTTAGATTCAATAGATAGTAAGTTATTTTTATACTTGTTATTATAATTTATAATTCATTAAATTTTTATTTATTTAATAATTTTATTTATTAGCAAGTAGGTTATTTTTTTATTACTAAATATATAATTTAAGTATTATTGAATTAATAATATAAAATATTATTATTATATATTTAATAAATTTATCTTATTAAGTAAGTATTATGTTTTATATTTTATGATAATAATAAAGAATAATTATAATACTAATACTATAAAATAATTATTTAGAAAATAAGGAAAATGCTCAAATTGTAATACAAAATATACTGGATATATATGGTGTAAAGAATGTTATTCTAATTTATTTCAACAAAATTTTTCTAATTGGACTAGCAAAAATAAATTTATTGATGAATTTATTCAAAATAGTCAAAAAAATGCTCAAAATAAAAAGCAATTATTAGAATGGATTTCTTATGATAAATTTGAAAATATTGAGTATTTTGATAAAGGAGGATTTAGTATTATATATAAGGCAACTTGGACTGATGGATTTATTATATCTTATGATTATGAAAAGAAAAAATGGAATAGAAAAAGTAGTATTGATATAATTCTTAAAAGTTTAAATAAATCATCAAATCTCAGTAAGAAATTTTTAAATGAGGTATAAATTTATAATTATATTTAATTTCAAATAATAAGTTTTTAGATTAATTTATTTTTATTTTAGTAGAAACATCATTATTATTGTTATAGTCAATTAAAAAAATATTCAAATGAAAATCTTATTCAATTATATGGATTTACTCAAAATCCAAATAATTTAGATTATATGATAGTAATGAAATATGCAAAAAATAATAGTTTAAGAAAAAATTTATCAAATATAGTTAAGGATAAATGGATTATTAAATTATTACAATTAAATAATATTATTAATGGACTTGAGGAAATACATCAAAAAAATCTTATTCATTGTGATTTTCATCATGGTAATATTTTAAATATTAGAAGTAAGATTTTATCTATTAGTGATTTAGGATTATGTAAACCTGTAGATTATTTTCAAACATCTAAAAAAAATAAAATTTATGGTGTTTTACCATTTGTAGCTTCTGAAGTTTTAAAAGGTCAACCTTATACTTTAGCTAGTGATATATATATATAGTATTTCTATAATTATGTGGGAATTTATATCAGGAGTTACTCCATTTAATAATAAAGCTTATGATTTTTAACTTAGTTTAGATATTTGTAAAGGTAAACGTCCTAAAATTATTAAAAATATTCCACAATGTTATATAAATTTGATGAAAAAATGTTGGGATATAGATCCATTAAAAAGACCAATTACATTAGAAATTAAAAAAATTATTAATAATTGGTATGAAAATATCAAAAATAAAAATTTTGATAAGGAATTAAAAAATAATATTATAAATTTTTATAAAGCAGATAGAGCATTAAGTCAAAACCAAATTAATAATTTAAGTGTTATTATTGATCATCCTCAAGTATTTTATACAAGTCATTTACTTGATTTTACTGAAAAATTAAATGAAATTTTAGATCTTGAAATTAAAAATTCAAATATTAGTAAAAATATTAGTAATTATTATGTTATTTATATATATTTTTTAATACTTGTTTTTAATATAACATATATATTTTTTAATTTAATAGAAGTTTAAATATTATAAATGATAAAATAAGTAATTAATTTAAATATAAGATTAGATCTATATATTTTAATTTATTTATATTAATATATTTTTATAATAGATGAAAATAATTAAATTTATTATAAATATATTAAATATTTTTTTTTTTATAATTATATCATATTATTATAATTTTATAAAATGTTTATTTAGTAACATTGTATATAGAATAAATATTATAAAAATACAATTTGTAATTACTTAAATAAACTTTTATTTATAAATTAAATTATAATGATTGAATATATATTTTTAATGCTTATTAAATTAATTATAAATAAAAATAAATAAATTATAATAATATCACATTTATTTATTATTATTGATAATAAATATAGGTTGTATTATATAATTAATAATATGTATTAATATTTATATTAATTATATTATATAATATTTGATAAAATTTTTTTGCATTATATTTTATAATTTTAATTGATATAATATAGTTATAAGACAAAAAAATCAGAATTTTTTTTAATGAGATATCAGTTAAATTAAGTTTAATTTAAATTATATAAATTAAAATATAATTATTAAATAAGTAAGTATATATATATTTTGTATTATTAATTTTAAATTTTTTTTTATTTTTTCCTTTTAATATATTTAATTTTCAAAAAACTTTCATAATTAATTTAATTAAAAATGATAACTTTAAATAAGAAATTAATCATCAAGTAATTTTATAATTATAGGTTAGAGTTTATTCAGTTGGAGTACGTTTAAACATAAAAAAGTTTTATAAGAAAAATAAAGATGTAAGCTATTTATGTTTAAGAGTTAACGGTAGCAAAATTATTCAGAGAATTAAAAAGTTACTTTTTATCAATTTACCTTTGTTAAGGAATCTTCCAATTGGACTCATCAAACGGTCCTTAAATAGTTTTTAACGTTTACTCAAATCTCGTGCTAAGATATTCTATAAAATATCCTAAATTGGTAACTCTGATGTCAACGCAGTTCAGTAGTTTGCATTTAGAAATTCTGATAATACATTTGACAAATTTTTCCTTTGTATTAAATTTGTGTATCATTAATTAATTAAATACATGTTATATTATAAGTAAAAGGTAAAATCATGCGAAATTTAGTGTTTCATGTTAAGTAGTTATGAAATTTATATAAATTAATTAAATTTAGTATTATTCTCAAAAAGACACACAATACAAAATTATGTAAGTAATATTTCATGCTACAATTTATAAGACATTAATTAGATTATTTGATCGATAAGGGTTTCTTTGCAGTCGTACTAATTAAATTAGTGCAAATTGTAAAATATTGTATAATAATAATTATATACACAGTAAAAATACTAAGAAGTATTTTTGTTAAAATATTACTATAACTGTGTGCAGAAAAAATAGCAAAGTATTTGCAAAAATTGCTACATTACAGTAAAAACTTAAAGTTTTTTAATGAAATAAAAGATTAATATGGCATTCACTGGTCAAAAAATAAAAATTCAGCCATATTAATATTTAGCTTATATTAAACTAAAATCAAAAGTATTCAGCCTCAATTAGTAATGATCTACAATTAGACTTGCATTTGGCAGCTGAATAATGTTATATAATAAATAAATTTAGAATAGTCAATAAAAAATAATCTCATAACAATTTTAGTCAATAAATTTTTTCTTTATTAAAAATGTTTGTCAAATATTGTATTCATTTAACCCAAATAAAACTTTCTATTTAGTGGTATAGTTGCTAAGTATTTTCTAGCATTAGACTGATTTGATGTTTTATATTTTACAGGTATGAATTGACATAAAACATTGTGTATTAGGATTATACTATTTCTACTGGTCGGGAAGAAGCTGTTTTCCTATAATTCGACATTACAAGTCTCGGCATCATTGTTAATACTAAAGTAAAATCAAATTGAAGATGAACTATCTGCTTTATACCATCTAATATAAGTCAGTTTATGTTTTAAATTCTGAGAAAATATACAAATGCTGTATTCAAAGAATATTGAACTTGGCCAGGGTAAGTATCAATACTCCCATCACGATTAATAAATTTAGTCAAAATAAAAGAATTTTAATATGTTGTGGCAAAGCAGCAGATCCAAAAATCTCAGCGTTGATTTGACATCTTTCGTATTAATTCACCTTAATGTTAACTATTATTGAATTAGATGAATCGTTCATAAATAGCTTTCTAAATATTGAATTTATATATGTATCTCTGTAATATTTGACAAGATAATTATGAATTCACTCCTTAAGATAAACATTTTCAAATTGTAGTTGTAAAAATTCCCTTGAAAAATTTTTGCAACCAGTAATCAGCGATTCTAATATATTCTTTGAATTCATCAAGAATCAGTATATCTCTTCTGTTGAAAATTCATCAACATCAGAAAGTGACCTAACAGATGATTGATTATTGAGTAATTCAAGCTCTTTACTTTTAAACTAGAGCTGGCAATATCATTTACTTTTGCTTTAGCTATCAATCGCCTATCAGTTCAGATTCAATTTGGCACTGACTATTAAGCAATGATCCTAATAAAATAAGTGAAATAAATGGTAAATAATCAGAAAATTAAACATTAAAAAGTTAATTACATTATCTAATATGCTATTTATTCGTTCAAATGAAAAGCACTAGAATGAATACAATGGATCATAATCATAAGAGTATTCATATAAATGTAACGAAAGGTGAAGATTCGGCATTATTTTTCCTTCATCATAATGCTCTTTGATTAATTTTATGATTTTTATTAAATCATTATAGGCTTCAACCATCTCATCGACTTCTATAATTCGCTTGACTAGAATTCTACACACTCTGACAAAATAAGTAAGAATTTTTGATCTTTGAGTGGAAGGTGATCCCATAGTATCACAGTAGCATATATTAAGAAAAAGTTTTGCCATTGGTCTGCCGTAAAATTAGAAACCCTTCGCCACCATAAATTTTACCAGGGATCCGTCCCAAATCGGCTGGTATTTAAAAATCATTAATTTTCTTTTGGATTGATTGAAGGATATTTTGTGTTAGTATATTTTCATCAATTCATATTCTTTTACGATCTATTTAGTAATACCTAAAAAAGGTAATGCATAGGATCTACTACAACGAATCTAATTAGATCAAAATATGGTAAGCGCAGTAGTTCAGACCATCTTACACAATTTTCTTTGACAAATAGAGATTGTTTGACATTGCTTTTACATCGTCACCAATTCAAAGCATTTTATTAATATGTTGTTAAATCTTTGTAATAAACCATTTGTCTATATCTGCTATACTACCGAAATTATGTTGATTGTCAATATAATTTGCCTTTTTTTCACAACAATAACATAATACAAGAGCAGAAATGTATTTGCATAACTTTTGTGCTGCAGGAATATCACACAAAGCTATTATTAAAATAGCGTAAATACTTTTACCATTTGGACATTTGTGTGTGTAATTTAGAGTCACTCCTTCCCAAAGTGACTCAAATTCTGTAACTATAGGTGAAAGATAATGGTTTATCTTGTATAGGCTAACCTTATTAGGCCCTGGTAATATACTAAGTACAAGCATATTTTTGAGTCGAAATCGAATGTTACATGACAAATTACATATTACGGCATATAGCATTCCTGTACTATAAATTGTACCTTTATACAGTTAGAACTAATCCAAATTAATGATTAACCCAAGGTGATTATCAGTTTTCTCTGATCGAAAAAATTTGTTTGATCTTTGATCAGTCAATTCTTTGAAGTTTTACCATATATGACTATTGTAAATATCTGATAAGGTATTGTCTTGTTGTAAATGATTAGTCCAATGTCATAACAACTTTTCAAATCCCAGTCTAAGAAACATACTAGAAAGTTGTTGTTGAATACTCGCAACCAGATAAATTAATTCAAGTTTGAATGATATGCTATTATTTAAAATAGTCTGCTTTGCTAAAGGAGTTTGACATTACTTGAATCACTTTGTAGCTGAATTAGGAAATTCTATATGGCTACATTTTATAATCGTTTGATTCTGAATGTTAGCTACATCATCCTTCTTATATAATTTGTGACATTTTTAATAAGCTGCAAAACATGTAAATTGATCAACTAAGCTTAAAGTTTATCTTGCCAGATACAAGAATTTTGAAAATGATTCATATTTAGATCCTCCACATTCTTCTAATAGAATTCTAATAAATTTTATTAGTGCCTCAATTGTGGTGTCTGATAGTTTAAAATTCGAACTGAACTTCATTATCCATATTAGAATCCATACAGTTCAGTCTTGTTTTGGTAGTTCTGAGGTGGTTGGTAAGTTGAACACAAGATGGGAATAATCTTTGAAATTATTCAAAAATTCAGTATCATTTCTAACATCTTTTTCATCATCTTTAGTTGATGAATTACTATCAGAATCTTCAGAATTATCGAAATCTCTTCCAAAATCACCTCCACTTAGCATGATTACATGTCGAAAGATTGCTGTTCTTTTTCTTTTATATGGAAGAAATGTGAAAGTTTGTCCTTCTAACATGTCGTTATCATCAATTGGTTTTTCTAACACATCATTCTCATCGATTATTGATTGTGTCGAATGTCTCTCATTAAATGGCTTAATTAATAATTAAGACATTAGAGTCTCAGTTGGTAAAATATTAATAGGTGAAGATGTTGATATCTCGTTCACCTTCATTTCATGTACCCTTTTTGGATGTAGATCGACCAGTTTTCCATTATATTTGCCGCAAAGACATTAAACTTTTGACCTTGATATTCTTATTGTAATTTTAACATCTTCTGTAAAAGATGGATTTGGATTCAAAGAGCTTAGGTTATCCTTTAAAATATTAGCAACTGAATGTTTTCTTTTCATTCTTAATAAAAATGATAAATAGAGTAGTGAAAGTTGTTTTATCAAATTCACCACATAAAATTTTACATTATATATATATATATTATTTAACTTTAATTTTAATTTGACTAACTCATTAATTTATTGATAAATATAAGTTTAATTTTATCAACTTTAATTAATTTGAATAACTTATTGATTTATTAATGAATATAAGTTTAATTTTATTAATTTGACTAATTCATTGATTTATTGATAAATATAAGTTTAATTTTCTTGACTAATTGATTTGGTTGATTAAAGTTTGATCAATAGCAAAATAAAAAAGTATAAATAAAGGTAGTTGACTCTTCTTATCACAAATTTTTTTTTTCTTTTTTCTCACAATGATAACATTTCTCTTAAAAAAAAATTATTTAATATGTCTCAACCACCAAAAAGAGTCTATTATTCTAGGTTAAAAATTCCAAATATTCTACAAACAGTACCAGGTCAACAAACTATTCCATTTCACCTAGCAATAACCTTACCAGTTCGTCCAGTTCGTCCAATTCGTCTAACAACTGTGTCAGTTTGTTCAACAGCTGTGCAAGCATATCCAACAACTATGCCAATTCGTCTAACAGCTACACAAGCACGTCCAACAACTGCACAAGTTTTTTATTCAACAACCATGCCAACCTGTCAAACTGAAGAATTAACCAAACAAAGATATCCTAATATTAGAGTTTTAAGATCGATTGATAGTTATAATGAACGTTAAACTAGTAATAAATAAGTCTATTTTATTGTGAATTATAAAAATCAACTATACAGTGTCACTATCAAATTTCACGTCATCTATGCTCCTAAATATAAAAATTGAAAAATTGAATCAAATAATCTAAACAGTTAATTCAGAAATTGAGAATTTAAGAAAGGAAAACAATTGGCTGTAAAACGAAATCTAACAGCAATGAGAAAGAGAAGCTGAATTTGTAAAAAAAAAACAGTTTGAAAAAGATAACAATGTGCTTCAGACATTTAATGATAAATTTGAAAATGAAAATGACAAATTAATGATCGAGAGTAATAAATTCAAGACTGAATTGACACGTTATCATTAATATCGAGTTCTGAAAAATATTCCTCTACTAATTATAGACAAAAGATCAGTATCACTGAATGAAACGAATGCTGAAGAAGCAAGAGTAAGAATTTTCTTATGATTTGACAAATTATAGTTGTTATACAATGCATATGATATTTCATTATAGACTGAGGTAAAAAATCTGATGAAAGGTCAGATATCAGCTGAATATCAACTGGATTATGAAAAGACATTCTCTGAATAATTGACAACTGTTTATGAAAAACTGATTTCAGAAATAAAGAGACTCATGGATAAAGTATTTAACCCTTTTGTGACATAATTTCGAATTGGATCAAAGCTATTCATAAACACAGAAGAGGTCGATTGTGAAAATGACAGACTGGAGCATTGAAAAAGGTCGATTAAAGGTTACATGCAAACACTTGGTTTTCTGAAATGATTATTTATTTAGTTAAATAAAATTTTTTTGTTTCATTTATTTTATACATGCAGTTGTTTGATAATTAATCTGAATAATATTCAACAGAAAAAAAATAGACGAATAAAAATGGCATTTAAATTGTTTAACATGAATGAAGGAAAGTTTCAAAATTCGAAAAAATGAAGTTTTGTCAATTCTACAAAAAAATGAATGCTATTCACCTGAACAATTAGATAGCGAAGACGAATATCGAATAAGGCAGCAGGGAGAAAAAATTTTCTATATGTTTATAATTATTCGTGATGCTTGAAAAAGGTAAATACTATTTTATAATATATATTATATATTTATTTAGACAATACTTATTCAACTTCACTTTTTATCTTTATGTTTTTGATAGTTAAAATCATTGCTTAGAGATATATTAGACTATGCATTCGAATAATTTTAGCATATAAAGAAATAATGGGAACGTATCTATAATGACGAGGTATATTTTACTTCAAATAAAGCATCTGAAAATATACCCAAATAGGTGACCAGTCAAAACAAATTTTTATACGAAACAGACTGGACAAATGAAACTAATGAAGTTAGTCACAATTTTGATGCTGAAATTGATATTAATGATAGCGGTAATGATTATCTAATAGACTTTTTAATAGACGAAATACGACCTGAAGACTTCAATGAAGAGGTGAATCCACGATTGCATCTCAAGTAAGTCAAATAATTTATTATTTTTATATTTAAGAACTAACAATTTCTATTATCATGTCATGATTAAAATTAGGGAACTTATTTAACTGACCAAAAAGGAAAAAGAAAATTAACCTAATTAAACAAAAATTATTATTATGGCAATTATTAACTGCTTTTTATTATTTGAATTTAATTCAAATATTAATATTTCATTATATACAATAAATAATATATATATATGTATATCAATTATAGATGCCTGCCGAAACCTCCTCAAAATAATTTTGTCATACCGTTTTCTATGTTTTTAATATAGTTTCGACAGTTTTGGCTTTCGTTATATCGAATGGATTTCGTCGTATCCCTTATTATGATTTTAATATAGTTTCGTCTAAGTTTCGACTATTATTAAGAGGTTTCATCCCTCATCTATAATATCAATTATTATAATTAAATAATATAATATAAACGCTTTTATTGCTATATATAATAGTATATATAAAGTATAATAAAATTAAGTCGAATAACTTATTAATTTACTTTGAATATGTTACTAATGCTAGTCAAATATTCTGTTTGAATATCAGACTATTGGCAGCCTAACACACCAAAACTATAGACCTTAATTTGACGCGGATTAGATTACCATTAGGCCTATATTTAACCTGGTTGAATTTAGGTCTAATGGCCATTTTTTGACTAGTGAAAGAGCAAGTAAGTAGGGGTTAGTACCTTGAGCAAGTACTGCGATCAACTCCTCTGTTTAAAAGAAGCAATATGTAACTTTAATGGTGATTAAGGCCCATTACCAAGTTAGGATAAGTATCATGAAGTCCCACTAGTCAAAATAGTCCAAATCAGCCTAAAATCGGATAGCTGATTTTAGGCCGATTTTGATACTATTTACAGCCGGTTTGTCATATTTTCCGATCGGCACAAACAGGTGCCGATAGACGCCAATTGACCCCAATCAGACATGGCCATTCAAAACTTAAATTCAACCATAAATCAGCCTAAAACTGGCCTCAATTTGGCAACAATTCAGATGCTGATTGATGCTAATCGACATGGCCATTCAGCCTAAAATTGACCTTAATCCAGCATCATTCAGCATTAATTCAAAACTTAAATAACATAAATCAGCTTAAAATTGATCTCAATTCAGCATCATTCAGCATCAATTTGGAACTTAAAAAACCATAAATCAGCCTAAAATTGACCTTAATTCAGCATCATTTGGCATCAATTCAGAATTTAAATAACCATAAATCAGCCTAAAATTGGCCTCAATTTGGTATCAATTCAGTCAAATAAG